CCAGAGGAACGGAGGGTACGGGCAGGTAGGTAGGGGAATAGTAGGTCAGAGAGGTAGGAGGGAGCGAGGCCGTGAATGAGGATCTTGAATTCGATCCTCTGGGGGATGGGGAGCCAGTGGAGGTGAGCGAGGGTGGGAGTGATGTGGTCCCGAAGCCTGGTGCGGGACAGTACATGAGCTGCAGAGTTCTGAATGACCTGCAGTGTGGAGGGAGGGCCGGGAAGGCCGACGAGGAGAGAGTTCCCATAGTCCAGCCTTGAGGTGTTAAAAGCGTGGACCAGAGTTTCAGCAGCGTGAGGGGTGAGGTAGTGCCGTAGTTTGGCAATATTACGGAGGTGATGGAAGGCGGTGATGGAACAACCTTTCTGAAATTATATAGCACCATTGAAAGAGTGTAATGAGTGTAAAGGGCGATCTCATAACACAGACAGCACCCCTGAAAATGCAGTGCTTCCTCCTCAGCACACACTCTGTTGTGACGTCAGGAGCGATGAGTCAACTAACACCCCAGATCTATTTTAGTGAAGCCTACTTCCTGTATGTAGTACCCTACATTTATCTAGGATCCAAAAGGATTCACTTTGTCATGGCAAGGATTTCACTGAAGCGTCAGCCTAGATTGTGAGCTCAGTCACCAACTTGGGGCTTGAACACACAACCTCCTGACCCAGAGTTGGGAGAGCTACCGACTGAACCAGGCTGAATAATGGTTAACAATGTCATAAAACGCTATCGCAGATGTGAAGCTGGTATAAACGGAAAAAGAAAATCCAATCAGCTGAAGGGCCTTCGTCATCAGAACCTGTCCCGAGAATTGTGAGTCATTCAGTGCATTTCAGGTCCCCACAGTTCCATTAGTCACAGAAGAAATCCCCTTGTTGTATTAAGATCCTAAGGTGTTCTGTGCATCACTCAGTTTAGTGTATAGACTTCTCTTCCATTGTAATTTCAGCCAGAGCGAAACCTTAGGCAAGTTTCCTACATCCACATGCATCTGTTTACCGAGCAGTAAGTAGGAACCCGGTTGTTAGTCGAGTGGTGAATTGCTTTCCAGGGGTAATAATCCCTTGAAAAAATAGATAATAATACTAATTTGGTCACTCAACTCACGACTGTTTGTGGGACACTGCTGTGTGCATTTGGCCACTAGATTTTGCCCACAAAATAGAGTATATTCTGTGAAACACTTTGAGACGTCTCAACGACATAACAACAACTTGGATTTATATAGCGCCCTCCACGCCAGACGGAGTCTCAGAGCGCTTCAGAGTAACGGATCCCGGGGCCGAGCCAGGGGGAGGGGGAGGAAGGTGACCAAAGGCGCAGTCGAAAAGGTCTTCAACCAAGACCTGAAAATAGGAAGAGGAGGCGAGGTGAAGGGAGTGAGGAAGGGAGTTCCAGAGCCTCGGGGCGTAGTGGCTGAAGGCATAGCCGCCGATGGTGGAGAGGAAGATTCGGGGGATAAGGAGGAGGCCAGACCCGGTGGAGCGAAGGCAACGGGTACTGTTGTGAGGAGAGAGGAGGTCAGAGAGGTGGGTGGGTGCAGAGGAATGGAGGGATTTGAACACAAGAGTGAGGATCTTGAAATTGATCCTCTCTGGGACAGACAGCCAGTGCAGTCTGGCAGGGACTGGGGTAATCGGGAGCAGAGTTTGGTGCGAGTAAGAATGCGGGCGGCAGAATTCTGGATGACCTGGATTTTATGAATGGTAGTGGAGGGGAGACCGGTGAGGAGGGCATTTGAATAGTCCAGCTGAGAGGTGACAAAGCCAGGGTATCAGCGGCTTTTGGGGTGAGATATTGGCGGAGACGGGCGATGCGTTGAAGGTGGAAGAAAGCGGTGCTGGTGAGGGACCAGATGTGGGGGAGGAAGGATAATTGGGGGTCGAACCTGACGTTTAGGTTGCGTACGGGTTTGTTGAGTTTTAGGGGGAGGTCGGGTAGGTGGAGCCGTGCGATTTAAGACGCTGACAAGAGCCAAAGAGTATGGCTTCCGTCTTGTCAACATTTAGCTGAAGGAAATTTGCGCTCATCTAGCTCCTGAGGTCTGACAGGCAGCTGACAGAACATCAGGGGACTGGGGGTCGCAAAGTGAGGTGGAAAAATAGAGTTGGGTGTCGTCCGCACACATGTGGAAATGTATCCCATGTCTGCGGATGACATCCCCAAGAGGGAGCACATAGATTAGGAAGAGGAGGGATGGATACTTGGGTACCCCCAGTTAACTGGCTGAGAGCAGAGGAGAAGCTGTTTGTGCAGATGTACTGCTGGCAGTTTGTGAGATAGGACTCGAACCAGGCGAGTGCGGTCCCACTGAGGTGGATGGCAAAGGAAAGGCGGTGAAGGAGGATGGCGTGATCGACTGTGTCGAACATGGCGGAGAGGTCCAGGAGGACAAGGAGGCAGAGGAAGCCCTGGACACAGATAGAGAGGATGTCAAGCGCAGTCTCTGTACTGTGGGCGGAAACCGGACTGGAGGGTTTCGAAGAGGGAGTGGGAGGAGAGGTGTGTGCAGAGTTGATTGGCAACAATGCGTTCTGGGGCTTTGGCGAGGAAGGGAAAGTTTGAAATAGGGCGGTAGAGGCTGGGGTTTGAGGGATCTAGGGAAGGTTTTTTGAGGAGGGGGGTGATGACAGCAATTTTGAGCGGGCAGGGACTGATCCAAAGGAGAGGGACTGGTTGATGACATCGGCCAGTAGTGGGCAGAGGAGGGGGAGTTGGGTGACCAGCAAGTTGGTGAGGAGGGGGTCGAAGCAGCAGATGGTGGGTTTCATCGAAGTGAGGCGCTATATCAAATGCAAAGATTACTATTATTTCACTATGATTTCCAATGTAGTTGTCACTTCACGGGAGTTTGTGAGGCATTGCTGTGTGCAAATTGGCTGCTGTATTTTCCTACAAATTACACAGTCATTACACTCTACAGTAAAATCATGTGAAACGCTTTGTTAGACGTCTCTCCGCTGTGATAAGACGCTTTATCAAATGCAAAGATTATTATCATTAGGTTATATCTCACTGGGTGGAGTAACAAATGAGCATAAATCAGAGAAATTTAGTTCTTAAAAGAAACATACAAAGAGAGCCTGCTTCAAAACGACAGCTGTATTTGAGAAGTTGCCAAATTCTAGAAGCTCTGTAAATAGAATAGAAAAAATACAGACGCATTTGTGGATTTTGGAAGGGATGCAAGGATAATTTATTTCTGAGGAAGTGCAGGTCTCAGTTCCGTACTGATTTACTGACACAGAAACTTAGGCTATTGTTAGTGCACTCACCGTACGGCGATTTCATTCTTATTATAAAATAAGCCTGTAGGGCAGTTATAACAGACAGTTCCTCATTAGAAAGAAACTGAGTTTGACGTAACCCATGAACATCCTCATTATAAATCCTCTCAGTGCATTGGGGGATTCCTCATTATCCAACAGCCTTAGCACTGCTGCTACGCAAAATGGATTAAAGGCACGTCTAGATCTTAGTAGGCACAACGCTGCTGGTTACATGAAACAGGGAGATGGTCTGGAGTAAACAATAATTAGAGCTGAATTTAGCTGTGTTACACTGCAATTCCAATTCAACGATGGGGTGGGGGGAGTGCTGTGTTATTATAATAATCCTTGCTTTTGATATAGCGCCTTATCACATTGCTGAGACGTCTCAAAGTGCTTCACAGAATATATTGTAAAATGGAGTGGTTGTATTTTGTGGGGGTAACCCGGCAGTCAATTGCGTACAGCAGTGTTTCGCCCACAAAGAGTCGCGAATTGGGTAACCAATTTTTTTTTGAGGGAGTATTACCTTTTGAAAGATTGAATTGAATTTTGAAGGATTGAAAGGGCGCTGGGTGTTACACTAGCGTGTGGAGGAAGCAAAAAACGTGAGCTGGGGTAGAGGAGGCGTTCTCATGGCAGGTGTTTGACTCGCGGCCAAAGGGGAAGCTGGCTTCACTCAATCACGCTCTTGAATTTCAACTCAATTGGTACAAATTGTACAAAAATGCACTTCTATACGTTTAGCAGCCCCAACAAAAGCAACGCTGGTCTTTATAACGCGTTCGACCTGACAGATTAATTTGGTTTAATGCTCTCAGGGCAGAGCATTTATGCGCGGGACAGCTCCCATGCGTTTCAGATGGAAGTGAAGAAACTCTATACTGCTGGCATTCACCCAATGTATTTTAGCCCTGAACAAGTCTGGTGGCAACAGCTACTGAGCTGCAAATGACAAGCCCATATCTCATTCCACAGCAGCGTCAGATGCACTCCTATTCCTGTGATGGTTTTGAATGTCCACTTTGCTTTCGAAACAGAAAGAGCTATCCGAGAGGGCTTCACGAGCAAGGCTTCCACCACACGGAATAAAACCTCCCTCTGAATCCCATCTGACAGCTCTGAGCTGTGAGTGATAACCTTTCATTGAGTGCTTTTAAATTTTTATAAGATCATCACCATGTCCTGCTATGTCCTGTTGTGGAGTCCTGTAACGTATTGGTTACGCCTCGCAAGCAAGAGGACCTGGGTTCAATTCCCAGGCAGGGTGAAACTCCTCTGTTTACCTAGCAATAAGTAGGAACCCGGTTGTTAGTCGATTGGCGTTTCGCTTTTCCGGGGGTAATAATCTCTTCCAAAAAAATAATAATTTGATCACTTAATTCACGACTGTTTGTGGGACACTGCTGTGCGCAATTGGTTGCCACGTATTCGCCCACAAAATATAGTCAATTCACTTCACATTATATTTCTTGAAGCGCTTTGAGACGTCTCGAAGACATGATAAGGCGCTATATCAAATGCAAGGATTATTATAGCAATCCTGGGTGTGTTGGCTTGTATTCAATGGATCCGTCTACGATTTAAAGTATTGATATTACACATAACTTAATAATAATAATAATCCTTGCATTTGATATAGAGCCATTCACGTCAGGAAGACGTCTCAAAGCGCTTCACAGAGTTTACCTGGAAATGGAGTAACTGTATTTTTTGTAAGTGGCAGCCAATGACTATCAAACAGACATGAAGTGAATGAATGGATTGTCGAACAGGGCACCAGTTTACACAAATCCAACAGCTAGCATCTCACCGAGTTTCCTTTTCTGTAAAAAATGTTATACATCTCATTTCTATGTGTGGAGGGTTGCTGGTGTGGGACAGGTGGGCGGATAGGGAGGGGGGAAAGAGAAGGCTGTGTTGGGCAATGAGGTGACCTGAAATGGACCTTCTCTGAGATTGAACTGACTGTGAAAAGACCAACCTCCAAATGTCAGGCAGTGACACAGTAGTACAGGATGTCATTGGTGATTGACGAGCTGATCAGCTCATCATTGGGATTTGGAGTTGTGTTCAACATCCTCAATCCTACCAGCCAATTAATATGCCACTCCCAGCTGGATACGTCCCCTAGAAACATAGCTTTGCTACCAGATTTTCTGATGCCTTTCCTGGTTTGGTTGGCCCTATGTAGTCTTTCTAACTCCCGAGTCTTTGCCACGCTTTGAGCTCGTGATCGGCACATTTTCACACCAAGGCTGGAACTCAGCTGCAGAAGTCATCTCCTTCTCTCTGAGCACAAAGGGGTCTGTCTGTCTGTCAGCAGGTGGCTGCTCAGCCTCAGATTACTGAGGAACACGGCTGTTGTGGTCTGCAACTAAACCACAAACACACTTTCTTTTCAGCCACTCTGTCCCCCTGCCCCCAGCTTTGCACCTACCTTCTCACTAAGTTGTGAGAGTGTTACTGACTGAACAAGGCTGACATCTATCTGCCTGTTCTTCCACAGGCTCCCACCTACCTTGCTTCATAAACCCCGCATCATCTAGAACTTCACAGCTGTTATTCTGCCCCACAACAGGCTCCATGAGCCTGAACTCTCATCCTCTCCAGGCTTGACTGACTTGGCTTTAAGATCCTCGTTTTATTTTCAAATGTCGCCACACCTTTACCCACCCACTGCCATCTTCTGTAGTGCTCCTCCCATGGCTACTGCCTCCGCTCCCCTAATACACGCTTGCTCTACTCTCATCTGAGGGCAACCTTTCACCCTCTTTGTCCAGCTCTCTGCAACTCCCTTACCTTTGGCTCTCACCTTCCCTCTCTGCTTTCAAAATCCATCTAAAAACCTACCCCTTTGACCACCTTCCTATCCTCCCCATCTCCCACTCACGAAGTCTCGTTGAAGCTGGCCTTTGAGATGTTTCCTAAAAGTCGCTGTGTAAGTGAAAGCCAAGACACTTGTGCATTTAGCCAACTTTTCAAGCTGTAATGAAATGAACGCTTATAAGTTGCTCGAACCCTATATTCAATCACGTCCAGGCAGCGGTGGTTAGTGGCAGGAAGCTGCTCTGAGCCAAACATGCGAGAGAGGAATCAGCCTGTGATTTGGCCATTGACATTCCAAGCAGATCTGCTCCACCTAATGGCAGGGCTCAGGCGCTGAGCAGGACAGAGGCTAAGCTCTCCCAGTCTCCCGTGTGGTGACGTCCCACGCTGCTTGTCAAACACTCAGCACTTCTGGAGGATACAGAACCGGGGCCTAGAAATGGGCAGTAAAACATCAGCCATTAAATAGTGAAGCCCCATCACGTTACTCTCACTCCCTGTTACTCTCACTCCCTGTTATTCTCACTCACTATTACTCTCACTCACTGTTACTCTCACTCACTTGCTCATTCACTGTTACTCACTCGCTGTTACTCTCACTCACTGATTGTTACTCTCACTGCCTGTTACTCTCACTCACTGATTGACTCTCACTCACTGACTGTTACTCTTACTGATTGTTCCTCTCACTCACTGTTACTCTCACTCGATATTTTTGGAAACAAAGAATCCTATTTTTGGCTCCATCTTTTCCCCGAGTCTCCTTCGCCCCCCAGAATGTCAGCACCCTATCCGTGGCATCGCTTAGGAGCCAGCAGAGAACAATGTTTTTCAACCTTTTAGAACAACGTTTGACCAGCTGAAATAGACATAAACTAATCCCTTGAGGCCACAATAAAGTCCGCTGAGGCCTCACTGACGAGTGGTGAGCATGCTTTCAATGAAAGCGGACTCACAATGGCCAGTTCATTTTGACCTCTGACTTTGGGTGTAACAAGTGGGTTAGTGGCTAGTCGCACTCACTTTCCGCAGTGGTCCTTGTGGGTAGCCCTGTAGGTTAGGCCTGGGGCCGGCTGAGTCTGAAGCCAGGCTTGGATCATCTCTGGGTGTCTGGGCTCCACCTCCAGGAAAACCTTGCTGCAGGAATTTACACAACAACAACAAATTGGATTTATATAGGGTCTTTCACATGGGGAGGACGTCCTCAGTACACAGTGGGTTGTCAGGACATTGAACGTCCAACCTGCAACCTTGGTTGAGGCAGGATCTGTGTTAGCTTTTAAGGAGATACATAAAAGGGTGTTTGGGAAGGGGAAAGGCAGGAGAATGGGATGAAAAACAGAGAGCTCCTTCAGAGAGCTGACACGGGGACGATGTGCCGAATAGCCTCCTTTTATACAGTAAAGGTGGGAAAAAGTGTCAAAGTTCAAAGCAGGGAACTTCTCCCCCACCCACGCTGACAGGATGTGCGATTGAAACCAATTGAATAGATACAGAGGATGGATGGAGCACGATATTGAACTCAAGTATTTGATTCCCACGCAGCCGACCAGAAAAAAGTTTTTAAAGAGAAGTAACAGCACATCACAGTGCAGAAAGGGTTAACCACAACTGGACTTGCACTGTATCTGAGTTGGATTTCAATCCAGTCACATAACTCCAATTCGTCAAATGGATTTGCGTACTTAATGCGCTCCTGTTTTACTGAATTCCTTAACATTACAAATCACAACGTTCATCCAAAGATAACACTCCTCCCTCCCCCAGATTGATGGCTTTAAATTGAGCACAAAGTATTACATCCATTCCCATGTCTCACTGCTCGAGAGTTTAGACAACTGTTTGGTTTTCATTGCCAAATATCTCAGCACAAATTGCAATTTACTGCCAATTATTACTCCTTGTTTTTACCACCCCCTCATCACGTTGACGCGTCTCAAAGCACTTCATGGGATTTTACTGTTAAGTGTGATGACTGTGCCTTTCTAGGTAAACATGGCAGCCAATTTCCGTGCTGCAAAGTCCCACAACAACAACAACAAGGTTCCATTTATAGAGCGCCTTTCATGTCGGGAGGACGTCCCAAGGCGCTGGACAATTGGGTCGGGACCCGAGCAGGGGGGAAATGGTCAGGGTGAGGGGAGGGAAGGGAGGGAGCGAAGAGGGGGTAGAGAGTCGAGAGGGGAGCTGAAGGCACGGTCAAAGAGAAAGGTCTTGAGACCGGCCTTGAAGGAGGAAAGGGAGGAGGCAGCGAAGGCACTGGGGGATGGAGTTCCATAGCCTCGGGGCTGAGAGGCTGAAGGCCCGGCCACCGATGGTAGGGCGGTTGGGGCGGGGGATGTGGAGCAGACCAGAGCCAGAGGAACGGAGGGTACGGGCAGGTAGGTAGGGGGATAGTAGGTCGGAGAGGATGGAGGGAGCAAGGCCGTGAATGGCCTTGTAGGTGAGGATGAGGATCTTGAATTCGATCCTCTGGGGGATGGGGAGCCAGTGGAGGTGAGCGAGGGTGGGAGTGATGTGGGCGCGGTTTCTGGTGCGGGACAGTACACGAGCTGCAGAGTTCTGAATGACCTGCAGTGTGGAGGGAGGTGGCGGGAAGGCCGTCGAGGAGAGAGTTCCCGTAGTCCAGCCTTGAGGTGATAAAGGCGTGGACCAGAGTTTCAGCAGCGTGAGGGGTGAGGTAGTGCCGTAGTCTGGCGATATTCCGGAGGTGATGGAAGGCGGTGCCAGTTGTGGCGCAGATATGAGGGAGAAAGGACAGCTCAGGGTCGAACAGAACCCCGAGGTTCCTGATGGCTTTGAGAGGTGGAGAGTGCAGCCTTGGATGCTGATGGTGTCAGCGCCTGAGGTGCGGAGGCGCTGACGTGAGCCAATCAGGAGGGCCTCAGTTTTGCGCACGTTGAGCTGAAGAAAGTTATCTCTCGTCCAGGACTCGATGTCGGACAGGCAGCTGTCAGGACATCGGGGGTCGTGGAGTTGAGGGTAGAGGAGGAAAGGTAGAGTTGGGTGTCATCCGCATACATGTGGAAGTTAACCCCATGTCTGCGGATGATGTCACCACAGGGGGAGCATACAGAGGCATACAGGGAGCATACAGAGCCCTGAGGGACACCGCACGAGACAGTGCGGGGGTTGGAGAAAAAGCCATTCGTGGAAACAAAGTGAAGACGGTGGGAGAGGTACGACCTAAACCACTCAAGGACAGGGCCTTGAAGGTTGAGGTGGGAGGACAAGCGGTGGAGGAGGATAGCGTGGTCAACCGTATCGAATGCAGAACAGAAGCCTGAGGCTGTTCTTCGCCTCCAGGATTATCCTGGAGTAGAAGGACGACTTGGCCGAGGCTAGAGTGGAGCGGTAGATTTTGAGGAGGTCCAGCCAGATTTGTCGGTGGACCGTTAGGCCAGATTTGAGGCAGGTGCGTTCAGCGACCCGCACCTGGCTCTTCAGTGAGCGGAGGTGGGTGGTGAACCAGGGGGAGGAGCGAGAGTAGGAGACAGTACGGGAGGTGATGGGGGCAAGAGTGTCAAGTGTGGAGGAGAGGGTGTTGTGGAGGGTGAGAGGAGAAGCGGGGTCAGTTAGGGTTGAAGGCCAGAGGGAGGGGAGTTCAGAGGACTCCAAGGCAGCGGTTAGGGATTGTGGGGGTAACTTCTTCCAGGGGCGGTAGAAGATGGTGGTGGGTCTGGTGGAGGTGGGGAGGGGGGTGGAGGTGGTGAAGGAGATGAAGTGGTGATCGGAGACGGCCTTGTCGGTAATGGTGACATCCGAGACACTGAGGCCCCGGGTGATCACCAAATCGAGTGGGTGGCCGTGACTGTGAGTGGCAGAGTTGATGTGGAGGGAGAGGTTGAGCGAGGAGAGGAGGGAGAAATCCGTGTAGATGGAGCAGGAGGGGGTGAAGTGCAGGTTGAAGTTGCCCAGGATGATGAGGCGATCAGAGCAGAGGCAGAGAGATGTAAGTAGGGTAGAAATATCGGAGATGAAGGTGGGAGAGGTTTTAGGGGGCCGGTAGAGGAGGAGGATTTTGAGTGAGAGGAAGGAGGGGTGGGAGAGGGTGAGGTGCTCGAAAGAGGGTAAAGAGCCAGAGGAGTAGGAGGATAGGGCAAGTGGTGTCCTTGAGATAAGGGCTACACCACCGCCACGGCGATTGGGGCGAGGGATGTGGTGGTTGGTGTAGCCGGGTGGTGTGGCCTCCGTGAGGGGGAAGGTGTCGCCTGGGGTGAGCCAGGTTTCCGTTAAGGCCATGATGCCAACGCTCTCATCAAGGATGAGATCGTTGATGACCAGGGCCTTGTTACAGAGGGAACGGCCTTTTTGTAGTCCGATGTGGAGGGAAGGTTGACAGAAGGGTGCGTGGGGAGGTCCAGGTTGTGAGGCAGGGGTGGGGGGAATGGGGATAAGAGGTTGGCTTCCCGGGTCTGTGACCGGCGAGTGTGGTGGGGAATGGGGCAGTCGGTGTGGCTGCTGCTGGACAGCCAACGCCGAGTGCCACGGTGAGCCCGGCGGAGGATTCCCAGGCTGGAACAGAGGGAGGTTGTGGGAGGGTCAAGTGGGGATAGAAAGCGGGAGGGATGGAGAGAGAGGACAGAGCGGGAGAGATGCAGAGAGGGGGTAGGGTTTGGGGGGAGAGAGGAGGGGGAGGGAGGGGGTGAGGGTCAGAGCGGCAGCCATAATGCGCATGCGGGGACCGGGAGCGAGCGGTCAGGTGGATGGCATTAGCCATCAGCCAACAACAACAACTTGCATTTATATAGCGCTCTTCACGCGGGGCAGCATCCTGGAGCGCTTCAAAGTCCCACAATCAGCCATGAGGTGAAAGACTGATTTTATCTGGGGGAGATTGCTGATCAGGCTCCAACGTCCACCTGAACAGGCAGACGGGACCTCTGTTTGTCTCATCCGAAGGATAGCATCTCTGAAATATAGCACTCCCCCAGCTCTGCGCTATCTATTAATATCTCCTGCAGCGCTCCTCCCCCACCTCCACTCCTCCACCACTATCGACGCGTAACCTTTCAGCCCTTTACTCTCCTACTTTGAAACTTCCAAATCCCTCCACCTCGCATTCAAAACTTGTCTTAAAAGCTCCCTCCACCTCCCTCCTGAATAGTTTCTCTCAATCTGCCGGGGTGTTTCACCCCAATGTCATACATGCTATGCTGTGCAAGTGTCATTGGTTGCCACAGACATGTCAGTTGAGGCATAGAAGGTTGAAAACAGTTGTTTTCTAGGTGATAACAAACCTGGTCGAGATGGCATGCTGTGAGGTACCTAGCCCACAAAATACAGTCAATCCACTTTCCAGTATATTCCGTGAAGCCCTTTGAGACGTCTGAACGACGTGATAAAGAGCTATATCAAATGCAAGGATGATTATTATCAGCTTCACTGCCCCAGCACACCTGAGCACAACTTTACACGCGGGGAATCTGCGAAACTTTTTTGGGTACAAAGGTAACTGGATTTGAGTCCAACTCATTTCCTGCACAGATTAGGTTTTGTTGTTTGGCAACGAACAGGAAAAGGCAAAAGGGAGGCAGTTCATGAAAAGTAACATCACCAACGCGTTTTATTAAAAAATATATTGGTAAAATCTTTTCTAACATAACATAACATGTAGGAGCAGGAGTAGGCCATTCGGCCCTTCGAGCCTGCCCTGCCATTCAATCATGGCTGATCTTCTAATCTAACTCCAGCTAATAACCTGACCCTGCCTTATCCCCATATCCCTTAATCCCTTTTGCAATAAGAAATCTATCTATCTCACTCTTGAATATGTTCAAGGACTGAGCGTCAACAGCCCTTTGGGGTAGTGAGTTCCATACATTCACCACCTTTTGAGTGAAGAAGTTCTTCCTCAACTCAGTGCGAAAGGGCTTCTATTTTTATGGTGCCTTATCGTGTCCCAACATCTGAAAGCACTTCACAGGAATTACTGTAAAGTAACTAACTGTTATTTGTAGATGAACGCAGCAGCTCATTTACACACAGCAATGTCCCTCAAACAAATGAAGCGAGTGACCAGTTTTATCTAAGGGATTGGCGGCCAGGACACCGGGAGAAACTCCCCTCTCTTTTCCAATAAAACTACAGGATCTTTAACACACAAACAGGTTCAGATGAGACCTCGGTTTTAATCC